CCCTCAAATGATTTTTTAAAAAAAAAAATCATCGTCTATCTGTAATGCCGACCCAAATCTCCATGACTAGGTTAATTGAACCTGTACCCTACGGGAGAATATCTCGGCAAAGTACAGTCTGATCCTTAGTGCCGAATACAAATCATGCCTTTAGGGCAAGTCGGAGACCTGCCCTCTTGTTTAAATACCACCGCCCCAAGACACCAGTGAGTTTGGAAGCTGCTGCAATCTTGAGCTGTGCTTGATGGAACTGTTTTATTTACCGTTCATCTCAACCTCCTTATCAGCAATTTTAATATCTTTAGCAGCTGTGCTGTTTCCTGACAACTTTTTCCCCTGCCCTTGGAAAGCATTTTTTTTCTTCATCCTTTACCCATAATTTTATTTATGTAAAAAGGCTCAGTGAGTTCCATTGTTGGATGACAGAGAGAGAGCGGGTTTGTTTCTTTCACTTTTATTGCTGGGTGAGCTAACCGGCGGACTGAAAAGTGTATACAACACAAATGTTCAATATCACAAATAATTATAAAATGAAAACTGGTGCGGTGGCCGCTGAGACCACATGGTGGAAACTTACCAGCACCCAGCAGCCCCCACTTACCCTTTACCAACCACAACCTCACCGTCCCCCAAAGGCAGCTGCCATTCTGGCTTTTGTGATAATTTCCTTTTCTTTATTCTTCTGTTACTTATGCACATGGGGGTGAGCATCCTCCAGAATATAGTAGTTTTGCCTGTTTTTAAACTTTATGTTAATGAGTCATACCAAAAACTACCCTTTTACTTTTTTTTTAATTTTTAAAAAATGTTTATTCATTTTTGAGAGAGAGAGACAGGGTGTGAGCAGGGGAGGGGCAGAGAAAGAGGGAGACACAGAATCCGAAACAGGCTCCAGGCTCTGAGCTGTCAGCAGAGAGCCCGACGCGGGGCTCGAACCCACGAACTGTGAGATCATGACCTGAGCCCAAGTCAGACGCTTAACCAACTGAGCCACCCAGGCGCCCCCAAAAAACTACCGTTTTCTTACGTCTTGCCTCTTCTGTTCCACATTATAGTTGTGAGATTTCATCCATATTTTTGGGTGTGGCTACAGTTCATTTACCTTCATCGCTATAGCGCATCGTGTTGTACTCAAGGTGTAGAGAAGTTTAGCTATTAATTTCACCATTTACTTTTAAATGTTAGCGAGGGTGAGTGAGCAGGGGAGGAGCAGAGAAAGAGAGAGAGTGGGGGAGAGGCAGAGTGTGTGGGATAGAGGATCCGAGGCAGGCTCTGGCTGACAGCAGTGAAACATACGGGGCTCGAACTCATGAACCGCGAGACCGTGACCTGAGCCGAAGTTGGATGCTCAACTGACTGGGCCACCCGGGCGCCCCTGATTTCGCTATTTATTGATGAAGCTGGATGTGTTCCCAGTTTTCAGCAACTATGAATGACAATTCTGCTGGGAACCTTTTTGTAGTGGATCAAGGGTCCATGAGTTTTTCTAGGGTGGCCAGGAGTCACTTTGCTGCATCACGGGAGTATGGATCTTCAACTCTACCAAACACTGCCAACTTTGTTTCCAAAGTGCTTGTCCCAGTCATATATACAAGAGTTCTCAGTACGCCATTTCCTGATCAACAGAATTGTATCTAGAAGGAGGTGGGCCACAGGTCAGCACAGCCTGTGGGGAGGTGAGGGGTGTGGCCGACACTCAAATGATTGCACTTGAAAGGAGGCTGGTCTGTCAACATCCTTCATGGGCCCCTGGGAATATTATTAAAGACAAGCTTCACGGCTCGATTTCACTGATGCTCAGAAAAGAGCACAGAAGGCCTTGGGGAGCTGCCCCAATCTCTCTATCATGGTCATGTGCTCACCAACACTCAAGTTGTCAGGCTTTGTGATTTTTGTCAAGCTGGGTGGTGGCTTCTTCCTATAGCTTTATTTGCATTTCTCTGATTACTAATAAGACTGAGTTCTTTTTTACACGTTTGGCAGCCATTTGGACGACTTCTTTTCAAAATGCCCATTCAAGCCTCTGGCTATTTTTCTATTTTTCTTATTGATTTGTAGGAATTCTTTGTATATTCTGGACACCAGTCCTTTGTCGGTGTCAAAGAGAGTGTATTTTCTTGCTCTGTTTTGCCACTGATACAGTCATGTCACTGAGGATCTATATAGAAACCTTTTTTGCATTTTATCTAGTTTGTTTTTTGCATTTATTATTGAAGTTTGGCACACAATGTTACACTACTCTCGGAGGTACAACATAGTGATCTGACCATTCTGTACATCACTCACTGTTCACCACAGTAACATAATTGCAGTATTATTGACGAGAGTCCCTATGCTGTACTTCTCATGTCTGTGACTTATTCACTTTGTAACAGAAAGTTTGTACTTCTTCATCCCCTTCACCTATTAACACCCATCCCCGCACCCCTTCCCCTCCGGCAACCACCAGTTTGTTCTCTGTTGAGTCTGTTTTTGGTTTTTTTTTTGTTTGTTCATTTATTTTACGTTGGTTTTTGATTTTGTTTTTTGTTTTTTTGTTTTGTTTTTTGTTTTTTTTAGATTCCACAGATAAGTGAAATCCTATGGTATTTATCTTTCTCTGTCTGACTTCCTTAGCACAATGCCCTCTAGGCCCATCTGTGTTATTACCAACGGCAAGATCTCATTCTTTTTTATGGCTGAGTAAATTGCATCGGGTGTGTGTGTATCACTTCTTTATCCACTCATCTACTGATGGGCACTCAGGTTGCTTCCATGTCTTAGCTGTTGTAAGTAATGCTGCAATAAACATAGGGTTGCATATATCTTTTAGAATTAACGTTTTCATTTTCACTGGGTAAATACCCAAAAGCGGAATGACTGAATCACATGGTGTTTCAATTTTCAGTTTGTTTTAGGAAACTCCATACTGTTTTCCACAGGGGCTGTACCAGTTTGCATTCCTACCAACAGTGCATGAGGGCTCCTTTTCCTCCTCGTCGTTACCAATGCTCGTTATTTCATGTCTTCTTGGTACCATCCATTCTGACAGGTGTGAGGTGAGGTCTCATTGGGGGCTTTGATTTGCATTTCCCCGATGATTAGTGATGTTGAACATCTTTTCATACATTTGTTGACCATCTGTAAGTCTTTTTTGGAAAAGTGTCTGTTCAGGTCCCCTGCCCATTTTTAATCAGATTATTTGGTTTTTCTGGTGTTGAGTTGTAGAAGTTCCTTATATATTTGGGTACTAACCCCTTATGAGATGTGTCATTTGTCAATCTCCCCTCCCATTCGGTAGGCTGTTTTCTCATTTTGTTGGTGTCCTTTGCTGTGCGCAAGCGGTTTATTTTCGTGTGGCCCCCGTAGTTTAGTTTTGCTTTTGTTTTCCTTGCCTGAGGAGACCTATTCATAAAGATGTTGTGAAGACTGATGTCCACGAGATGACTGCCTCTGTTTTCTTTTAGGAATTTTATAGTTTCAGGTCTTATATTTAAGTCTTCAATCTATTTGAAGGGCTTTTTTTTGTTAATGGTATAAGAAAGTGGTCCAGTTTCATTCTTTTGCATGTAACTGTCCAATGTTCTTAACCCCATTTATCGTAAAAACTATCTTGTCCCCATCGTATATTCTTGCCTACTTTATCATAGATTAATTGACCATGTAAGTATGCGTTTATTTATGGGCTTTCTCTTCTATTCTATTGATCTGTGTGTCTGTTTTTGTGCCAACATCATACGGTTTTGATTACTGTAACCTTGTACTGTACCTTGAAATCTGGGATTGCGATGCCTTCAGCTTTGTTCTTTCTCAAAATTGCTTTGGCTATTCAGGGTCTTTTGTGGTTCCATATGGATTTTAGGATTATTTGTTCTAGTTCTGTAAAAAATGCTGTTGGCATTTGATTGGGATTGCGTTGAATCTGTGGATTCCTTTGCACAGTGGGAACATTTTAACAACATTAATTCTTCTAATCCATGACCCTGGTGTATCTTTCCATTCGTTCGTGTCGTCTTCAGTTTCTTCCATCAGCGTTTCATAGTTTTCAGGGTACAGATCTTTTGCCTCCTTGGTTAAATTTATTCCAGATATTTATTCTTTTTGATACAATCGTAAATGGGATTGTTTTCCTAATTTCTCTTTCTGCTACTTCATGATTAGTGTATAGAAATACAACAGATTTATGTATATCAACTTTGTATCCTACGACTTTTCTGCATTCATTAAATACATTTGTGTCACTGAAAACCTATGTATAAACCTTGAAACAAATTTGTAACGATCTCCATATTAAATTTTTTAACATTTTAATCAAAACAATTGTTTTACCATGGTAAGTGTGCTCTTTAATCCCTACTGCCTATGTCACCCATCCCGCAATCCCTTCCCCTTTGGTAACTACCAGTTTATTCTCTATAGTAAAGAGTCTATTTCTTGGTTTGTCTCTTTCTCTGTTTTCTCCCGTGCTCATTTGTTTTGTTTCTTAAATTCCACATATGAGTGAGATCATATGGCATTTGTCTTTTTCTGGCTTATTCCACTTAGTTGTATACTCTCCTGGCTTCACCCATGTCCTTGCAAATGGGAAGATTTCATTCTTGTTTATGGGTGAATAACCATGCTCAGCACGGAGCCCCATGCGGGGCTCGATCCTGCAAGAAAAACTGTGAGATCGTGACCCGAGCCTAAATCAAAAGTTGGACACTTAGCCAACTGAGCCACCCAGGTGCCCCGCATATAGAGGGGTTTTTTTTGTTGTTTTTTTAAATAATGCTTTATGAAAACTTTTTGGTTTTGGGGACGATTTTAGATTTCTTTGGTAAAGATGGTAGACAGAAGTGTCACATTCTCACACACCCTTGACTCAACCTTCCCTCGTGTGAACCCTGTAGAGAGTTTTGTGTAAGTTTTTTCGACCTAGGACGAAATTTCCTTTGAACTCTGCATAAAGTTTTTGGTTTTCAGTTTGATCTATAAAGCTGAAGTCACAAAGCTTGCCCTCCCTTCTGCTTGCTTTCTAGGTTACTATAACAACAGTACCAAAGTGGCTGTAAAAACCCTGAAACCAGGCACCATGTCTGTGCAAGCATTCCTGGAGGAGGCCAACCTCATGAAGACCCTTCAGCATGACAAGCTGGTGAGGCTGTATGCCGTGGTCACCAGAGAGGAGCCTATCTACATCATCACTGAATACATGGCCAAGGGTGAGCACGTCCCCCCGACCCCGTGCTTTTAAGAGGCTTGACGCTCCCAAAGCAAAACGCTTAAATGCTCAAAGAATGTTCAGTTTTAATTCTAAGACAGCAGGCTCACCACGGAAAAATGAGAAAATGTGGGAAAGCAGAGCATGTTCACAAACCACCTCATGAGACATGTTATAAATATTACCTGAATTATAGAAATAATACATAGTCTATCTTCTCTGCATTTGTCTTCATATACATATTAGCCACAAGAATAGCACGCAATACGTCGTAGGCCCCTAATAAATATTTGTCAAAAAAAAAATCTATTTCAAATAGGAGTATTTTTGTTATATATTTAAAACGGGAATTCTTAAAATGCTAAAACGAGTCATTTTCCTCTTTAGCATTTTTTAATGTTCAGGGTGTCACTTTAAAATGCTCACATTTTGGGGCACCTGGGTGGCTTAGTTGGTTAAGTGTCAGACTTTTGTTCAGGTCACGATCTCAACAGTTCGTGAGTTCGAGCCGCACACTGGGCTCTGTGCTGACAACTCAGAGCCTGGAGCCTGCTTCGGCTTCTGTGTCTGTCTGTCTGTCTCTCTCTCTCTCTCTCTCTCTCTCTCTCTGCCCCTCCCCTACTCGTACTCTATCTGTCTGTCTCTCAAAAATAAATAAACATTGAAATAAATTTTTTTAAGTTTCAAAAATGTTAACATTTTTTAAACTGTTGGAAGTTAAATTCCTATGTATCAGAATCACTGAACGAAGAGGTTTCCAGCAACCACGTTTTCTCCCACTGATGTTACCTTCAGATAACAGGGTTTGAGTTATCATCCTTCCTCTGTTCAGTTAGAGATACTAACAAACTGCCAAATGGTTCTTTAAAAATCTTCAGAAGGAACGAAGGAAGAAAAGAAAGAAACATACATAATAGAGAATTAACAATCATCTCATGCTTGATGGAGACTATAGTGTAATGTCGTAGCTGAATAGAAAGATGAACGTTATATTTGCTTATTTAATATATATAAATATTTCAGAATATTAGTCAGTCTGGGGCACCCGGGTGACTCAGTCGGTTAAGTGTCCGACTTTGGCTCAGGTCATGATCTCACAGTCCATGAGTTCGAGCACCGTGTCGGGCTCTGTGTTGACAGCTCAGAGCCTGGAGCCTGCTTTGAGTTCTGTGTCCCCCACTCTCTCTCTGCCCCTCCCCCACTCTCGTGCTCCATCTTGCTCTCCCAAAAATTAAAAAAAAAAATGTTAAAAAAGAATATTACTCACTCTGAGTCCTTCCAAAAAAGGATATTGTTTAGAAACGAAAACCAAATACCTTGTCCCTATGGCTTAGGTTGCTGTCACCCAGAAACCAGGCTCAGGATCAGACACTTTGTAGGAGTTCAGTAAATACGTGTTGAACTGGGGCGCCTGGGTGGCGCAGTCGGTTAAGCGTCCGACTTCAGCCAGGTCACGATCTCACGGTCCGTGAGTTCGAGCCCCGCATCGGGCTCTGGGCTGATGGCTCAGAGCCTGGAGCCTGTTTCCGATTCTGTGTCTCCCTCTCTCTCTGCCCCTCCCCCGTTCATGCTCTGTCTCTCTCTGTCCCAAAAATAAAAAAATAAAAAATAAAAAAAAATGAATTAATCAGCCGGTAGCATCTGGGATCGTAACTGTAAACAGGAGTTTATCCACATAGCGATGCTTAGCCTTTATTGAGTACTTACTGTATACCAGATTGTCCTTGCTGCCTTCCCCGGGTGATCTCGCCTGGTCTTCTTAGCAATCTGAGGGCTAAGTACCATTGTTCTATGCTGTGGATGAGGCAGCAGAACATTTATTGAGCGCTTACTACCCACCAGGCACCATGGCACGTGCTTTAAATCTGTCCTTACGAGGACCCTGATAATAGCTGGTAGGCTGTGCCCGCTGTACAGGGACTAAGACGTTACAGGTAAGCAACTTGCCTGAGGCTGACACTTCAAGTTCTAGGGGAGAACGCAGGTCTTGTTTTAGAGATGATGCCATAGGAAGCCGGGCGGGGGTTGGGGGGGAGGTTATCGACAAACTTTCTTTTAGGTACAGAGCACGGTATGTTCATCAGACACTCGTGAGCATCTGTAGCTTGTGCTGAGCTCTGTGCTTTTGCTGGACACAGATAGGAGTGAGCCCAGCCAGTGCCTGCCGCAGGCAGGTCGGCCATGAGGACTTGCTGACGCCCGTCCCCGAGAAGCTCTGAGGATTCGGCAGCTGCACTAAGTGTATCGTGGTGCCAGGTGCAAAGTGCTCTGAGATGCGTGCTCTCGGTCACCCGGAGCCAGAAAAACCATGTCCCCCATCGGCCTTTCTTACCTGGACCACACACTACATTTCCCATCAGGTCAAAGGGAGCAGCTTAGAGGGGACTGGGTATGACCAACTTCAAGAAAAAGGCACAGTGGCCATACAGCATTGTCAAGGCCGTCATTCCATGGGTTCCCCCGCTAATAGGAATGATTGTTTGACTTGTGTTCGGATGTTGGTCTTGTGTGTTTGAACTACCCCGACTTGTTCCTCTCTATCAACAGGCAGTCTGCTGGATTTCCTGAAGAGTGACGAAGGGGGCAAAGTCCTGCTTCCAAAGCTCATTGACTTCTCTGCTCAGGTGAGGTATTAAAAACCCAGGGTGTCTGTAAATTCACGCAGACCGCCTTGCATCAGAGTCGCGATGTTCCCGGGAGAAGGCATTTTCCTTGAATGCTTCCCAGGAGCAGTTCTGAGAAAAAGACCTTCCAGGGCACGCTTCCCTGAAGACAGTAATGCGTGTTTCACACTGAAGGCATTTGTGCGTGTGTCGAGCTCTGGCTGGGGTGTCGTGTGCCCTAAAACAAGTCAGCCCCTTATACTTCTGTTCACTTCTGCACCAGCTATAGAAAAACACAGCTGAAGTGGTCACTTTGTTCTGCGTTTTGGAAATGCAGTCCCACGCGACATAAGCACAGCGCATTCTAAGTGATGCATGGTGGTATTTCAGGTACTAACCTAAGGTACGGAAACTTCGAAGTCCTTAGTATTCGTGCAGAGGGAGCTCCTTATCTCCCCCCCGTCTCGTCCTTCTTGTTGGCTGTGTCTTTAGGATTCTAAGAAATACTCATTCGTAATATTTCTAGTACTAGCCTAGAAGTGGCAAATATGTTTAGTTTGGAAGCACACGTTTCCTGAAGGGCATTTAAGGGCAGAGGGACGTCACCCGAAACCCAGCAGTATGCCCGATGTGTCCAGGAAACGCACGTCCGGATGATGCCAGCTGCTGACTTTTAATAGTTTGATTGTGTCTGGTCGGCACGTTACATACTTGGCTTGTTTTGTTTCTAAATCCTGGCCGTGGGTAGTTCATGTTGGGAAGGCCACGTGCCATAAAGCCTGAAGTAGCACAGGAGGTTTCTAGAAGTTTCAGGTAAGGGTGGCCTTCTTGATCTTCGTTTCTCACTCCGGTTTCTTCCCTCCGACCCTCTTTAAGTCGGGAAGTTGATATAAGGCCTTCTGGGGAGGATGATATCAAAGGAATGAGTGTGCAGGTGAAGTACTCCAAGTAAGAGAGCGTCAGAATACGTATTCTGCAGTAGAAGATTGTGGGCAGAGCTGGGGTTCAACATCCGAAGGCTCGTGTGTGTCGGGACTCAATAGCCATAACCACCCAGGAAGTCCTTTGCCTCTTTGGGTTGGTGTATCGGCCCGTCAAATGGGAATGCTAATTCCTACTTTAAGGTGATGTTGTTGGGGGTCTAATCTCACCACAGACTGGCGTGGATACAGGCACATCGCAGCCTGTTGGGGGAAGCTGAGGTCACCTTGGGGATGACAGTCCCCATCATTCCAGTAGAGGTGCGTGACGAAGTCCTCATGCTCGGGCCCCATCTCCTCTCCCTGAACTTGACAGCCTTAGTAGATTTCTTACCTGAGTAGGACATTCAAAGGTGATCTGGAACCCCAGTGTCTAAGGTGGAAAGAAGCAAGATCGCTGTGGTAGAGCTGGGGGAGGGAAAGAGTCCAGCAGCCCTGACTTTTTAACCCTTCGCTCAAGCTCTGCACGCTGGGCCCTGTGAGAGGCTCGGTGGGACTGCAAGGGTTCCAGGATCACAGTTTGAAAACCACTGTTCTGCAGTAAGAGGAAAGATCACTTGGATGGACGCGGCTCTAGATGCTAGGTAGATAGGGAGGCAGAAAATGAGAAAGCAGAAGTTGATGTACTTGTGTCATACTTGACGTAGATAAAGGAGGCAGTGATTTAGGCATCCCCAGTGGATGAGAGACACTTGAGTGTAGTGAAGGTTTGTTGCACCTGCTTCTCAGAGGGGGAAGGTTGCTGACAGGGATATGGAGAAGTGGGACATTTGGCCTGGAGGCCTGAGCGGTTATAGTTCAAGTGCAACTGAGGGTCTGATCTGTGCCTACAGTTCTATGGGGTAATATAGGGTCTACAGTTATAGAGAAATTACGCACGTCAGGGTGTGTACTGTACCTGGAGAAGGACTTTATTTTGTCACATGAGTATTTTTTTTATGTTTATTTATTTTTGAGAGACAAAGCGTGAGCAGGGGAGGGGCAGAGAGAGAGGGAGACACAGAATCCGAAGCAGGCTCCCGGCTCTGAGCTGTCAACACAGAGCCTGATGAGGGGCACGAACTCACGAACTGTGAGATCATGACCTGAGCTGAAGTCGGACACCTAGCCAACGGAGCCACCCAGGCGCCCCATCACATGAGTATTTTTTATTTGATTTTACTTGGCTTACCTTATAAAACTTTATCTTGACGTAGTTAAAGCTTTAAGAGACTCAGGGTCTCTGTACCTATTCTTTAACTTGGTAAATTACTACTATTACTAAAAAAGGTATGTTTTTCTAGCTTACAAATGAGTTGGGGGAGAAAGGTACTTTCTAAAGCTTTGAAGTTTGCAAGGAAGATTATCTCAGAGCCTGGCACTGACCATGACTTTCAAATCGTAGGTTCCAGGTGGCTTCAGTTGACTCCTCGGTCAACTGGGATAGGGCTGAGCCCTTCCCCCTGCCCCTCACCCCACCCCCCATGAGAGGAGGGGCCTGGGATAATCGAAGCCACCACCAAAGGAGTTTTGCAAATCCAGCTCCTGCTGGATGAGCTCTTGTTCCCCAGCCCAGAGTTTCTTTCCCAGCCGTGACCACTGGGTAGAACTGGTGGGACATCTAATTTAAGTGCCTGGGGAGTTAAGTGTCAGTGGGAGAGTCAGCGGGTCAGCAGCGCCTGGGGTTGTCGCAAAGCATGTGGTTCAGCACAAAATTCATTCACCAAATACAATTTCATTTTGAGTTCATCTTTTTTTTTTTTAAGTTCTCTGAGTTTTATTTTACTTTATTTTATTCTATTTATTTATTTTTAATATGAAATTTATTGTCAAACTGGTTTC